AAGCTACTTGAAGGTTTAAAATGTGATAAAGTTTGAGTAATGTGAGGAAGGTAATGTGATAAAGTTTGCATTATATAAAGTTTGCATTCTGGCTGCAGTGAAGAGTGGATTAGAGAAGAGCGAGACTGCAAGTGGGAGGCCAGTTAAGAAACTTATAGCATCAGTCCTGTTAAGCAATGACAGCGGCTCATGTAAGTAATGAGAATAGAAAGAATAGATTGGAGAGAGATTTAAGAAGTACAGTTGTTGGACTTCAGTAGTCTTTTGGGTGAGCAATAATAAGAAAATGAATTCTATGGAGGGATGGGGAGTAATTGTTCAATTTGGGCCATGTTGCATTTGAGACTTAAAAAACATTAAAGTGTTTATGTCCAAACAAAAGGTTGAATGTATGGATCTGGAGATGAGAAGAGATATCTGAGCTGAATATATAGATTTGGGAATTATCAACATATAGATCATGACTGGAAATACAAGAGTAGGTGAGTTTGCACGGTGGGGCAGGGGAAGAGTATACTGTGAGGTGAGGGGGGAGGGTCCATCACAGAGCACTGTGGACAGAGTTTAAGACATCGAGTCTTAACTCTCCCAGTGTATCTCAACCACCCAGGGAGCTTTTCAAAATATAATTCCTGGGCTCCACACTCCAGGAATTGTGATTCAGTCATCCCCAGATATATCTTAAGATATACTATGTTGGAAAAGCTCCATGATGATTCTTCTGCACATCCACACTTGCGAAGTATTGACATAAAGGTTAGGCAGAAGACAAAGAGAGTACGGAGGAGACTAATAAGAAGTGGCTGGTGGATAGGAGGAAAACTATTGGTGTCCCCAAGACAAAGAAGTTTCAAAAAAATAAATGTTTAGCTGAGTCAAAAGCTGATGAGATGTCGTGAAAAATAATGATCTAAAAGTAACCATTATAAATATGATTTGGTGACCTGAAATAGTAGCCATGAGGTCTGATTGCTGTAAATTGAGTAGTAAGTGGGAGGTAGATCATAGTAGATAGTGTCTTCACTCTTTCATGGAGTTTGTAAAAAGCAAGAGAAAGAAGGGTAATCACTGGAGAGAACTTTAGGTTCGAGGAAGTCTCTTTTTTTTTTTTTTTTGAGAGGTTTTTGCCATAGGGCACATGCACTCGCCAGACAGACAGAGAGAGACAAAGAGACAGAAAGCGAGAAAT